CCGATATCCCCCACCGTCGTTTAATAATAGAAGGTATTTAATATCGGGCCAGGACGGCCAGATATCGGAGATTGTTGAGGGAGGAAACGAGATTGTTCGGCTGATGGGAATGTAACGATGGTTTACGGATACTTTTTAGGTTGCTTGAGCTAACGGGCACGTAAATGATGAACGTACATCAATTTCGTTAGAGACGATTAGCATGGATTTACAGAACGTACTTGAAATGGAAAGTTTGTATAAAATTTAATGCGATGTTATTTTTCTCGAAATTCCTAAAACTTTGTTTCCTAAATAATATAACTTCCTAAAGTTATTCTATGAATACCTGAAATTGCATACATTCTGGATTTACATTAAAAAAAAAAAAAAACAGAGAACTATGTTAAAATTTACCACAATCTTCCGAATAAGACCATGAAAATATAAACTTTCACGAACATCCAGAACTCCAGTCACGATTACAATAACCTTGTTCGATGATTATTTCAAAGAATTCTCTTCACTCGGTTCTCGATACTTTTGAAATTTCTGTGTCCAGTAGGAAAGGTTTCCACGGTTTATTTTACAGTTTTTACGTCAGCTCTGGGCTTCAATTTCCGTGGAATCTAGTGGGAATCGTTTCTTTTGAATAGTGAATCGGTACCAGTACACAGCGAACAACAATGTAGGGAGAGGTTAATAATTCATGGTGGTAGTTTGTGGGGCACGTGATGTGTTCTACGCCACGGGTACCCGAATTGTTAACATCGTGAACTTATTCGGTTTGACCTCTTGAGCAGCAAAGACGGGAAGGGGTGTCTTACCTCGTATGTACATTTTCCCCTTGCTCGTCTTTATTGGCAGGGACAAGCTAAGCCAGCTTCAACCTTACCTCGTTTCGTAATGGACACCGGTCACAATAGACAACATGAGAAGACACGCTATTAAGACGTTTACCGTCTCGTGAACCGCTGAATCGCTATTTAGTACCTTGTGGGCGACGTTAGCGTCACGTTCTTACGTAAACCGTGTTTCAAAGGTTGGACAGATTATTTAATAAAATTTTTCGTTTACAAGCCGTTTTACTATGATTTAAATTTCTGGTTTCGTGAAACCAGAAAAATTAAATTTAGGTACTGTGACAGAATATACATGTGTTCTAATTAATCGAAACCTTCACGTTATCTTAATGGGCTCAAAGAGAGATGATAAAGTCTGTTCTGACAGAAGCAAACGTAGCATAGAAGAAATTATTTTTGTAACGTTTGTCCTGAAAAACAAACTAGAATCTTGACGAATACTTTACAAAATAACATGCAACAGAAAATGATAAATTTTAATGTTTAACATACAAGAGTTTTTCATTTTTATGTAGTGTTTGAGAATTATTGAAGTGGACATCGATGTACGTGTTTTTTTTTTCTTTTTTAAGTAAATGTCCAGCGAAGCATTAATATTGGGCGACATAAATATGAAATATTATTTTCCGCGGGGCGTATTGATTCCATAATGTCCGAAGTATTATTCCGTTTCGATATCCTCCACAACGAATTTCGTCATGACATATGAAATGCAATGGAAATACGACAGGATTTCATAATGTATGAAGCCGTACCGTGCACGGCATATTGAAATACAGAAATGAATTTTGACGTATTGGTTTCTACCAGACATGATACTATAGTATTCGTCGTTGCATTAATATTATAACTATCATTACTGAAAACAGTTTGTACAGTTTCCTTCGAAGATACCAGGAAACTAAAATACAAATTTAATATCACTAAATCCGCGAACGTTCACGCAAATTCACATTTCACCGAAATCCGAATTAAGCATAAATGTCTAATAACCTCATTATTATCACCGCATTATACTCCAGTAAAGTTTAGGTTATTCGAAATTCAATAATTCTACATAAACAAAATATATATTCTACCCAAAAATATGATATAGATATATTATGTCAAATAAGACACAAAAATTCCTAAAAACATTCTGGAAACAAAAATCACGACCAAAAGCATTTAAAATTCCATTAACAATCATCTCAAAACATAAACACAGCGATCGAATACTAAAAATATTAAAATCTCACAGTTATCGTTAATTTTCCGCAGAAGATCCACTTCCTTTTCGATTGCACGACAATTGGTGCATTGAAATCAACGTCTATCGTTTCGAATCTGTGGAAATCCTCGATTCTCTATCGTGTAAACACTGCGAAGATAAGACACAAAAATTCCTAGAAACAAAAATCAGGACCAAAAGCATTCAAAATTCCATTAACAATCATCTCAAAACATAAACACAGCGATCGAATACTAGAAATATTAAAATCTCACAATTATCGTTAATTTTCCGCAGAAGATCCACCTCCTTTTCCATTGCACGACAATTGGTGCATTGAAATCAACGTCTATCGTTTCGAATCTGTGTAAATCCTCGATCCTCTATCGTATAAACACTGCGAAGAAGGATGGCTCGCGTGGGAGGTGTAAGCTCAACCCCGTAGGGCGAGTAAATCTGCGCGAATGTGGGCGGGTTTGCATGAGGTGTCTGATACCACGCGCGAACAAGGGAACTTTCAAATTTCTTCCGGCGATAATGGCCGGTTTCCGGCCGGGGGGGATTATGACATCGCGGGCCGAGCGCCACGCCACGGAAAATCGCCTCGGCTACATACTAGGCATCACGTGAAGATGTTATCGGTGGACAGACGAGCGTGTTGCGATAAGGAAATTTCCCAGCTCCCGACGAATTTCATTATTTCATTGTTCGCGCGCACGGTTAATAAGAATCGATGAATATAATCGGCACGCGTGTCACGGTTTCATCGATCGGTAGCAGGTTCGCCGTCCTACAATCGTCGAATCGATTCGTTTCACCGTGTAACACATTATTCATTGGCAACGAAAAATCCCATTTTCATGGTAAATGCATTGGCATTATTTATTATTTCTTAGGAAATGGTATTCCTTTTAGATTTAAATATTACTGGCTTTGTAACGGGGGATATTTACGTGATCTTGAATCAGTTAGACATGTCGCTGGATGCACAGGTAGTTTTGGCTAAACTTCACTGGTCGTTGGTGCATTAATATTTTCAATATCTACGCAAGATCACGAGAAACTTTTTCAATAAACACAATACATCCATGGGCGTAGCTAGGTTATCAGTCAGGAGGGGGCAAAAATATTAACACATCGACTGCCACAGTGAAAAATGCTGTACGTAGTCAGACACACTTTATTTTATTTTTAATGTCATAAATTGTTGAAAATGTATGCGTTTTGTTAATAGAGGCTGTTGGTCGTGTTTCAAATTATACTGTAATATTAAATAGTACGCAAAAATTTTGTAACTCTGGGGAAGGAGGGGGTGGGGGCAAGGAGGGACACTGGCTGTGTCCATGAATGCATCAGGTTTGATGGCAGAAAAACGATTAATTAGATTGAAATCTATTAGGACATACATGTAACGTCATAGCTAGTAGGTTATGTTACTGACTGACAGCAGTGATGCCAAGCTGAGAAATCGACAAAGGAATCGGTTATTATTTTTCTATTGTCAACTAAACATATCGTAATATCGATCATTTCGACTTATTCTATAAAAGTGGTCGACTTATCACATCGTATTTCGTTCATAAAACTGATACTCTCATTCCTATAAACATTATACGATGTATATAAATACACTATAAGAGTTTACATGTTCTGTTATGGTCTATCAATGATTCAGCTGGCATGAACGAAAGGTGATGAAAAAAGGAAGACATTAAAAAGTAGGAAATAGAGAAAGACAAACGGGGTACCATTTTTTTTGTTGATATTTCTTAAACTTGCACAGCAAGCCTGTTCGTATTTCAAGTTCAAAGACGTCCAACCCCAGCGTATGTTTAATTAATCCGTTACTTCGGCCGAGAATTGAACATTCTCGGGGCGAAGTCGCCATTTGAATGTCACAGAGGGGTGTGTGAATATCGGATTCGTGCGACGTCGGGTGCCTCGCTCTCCCGTGATTCCCCGAGAGCACCGACTAATTTATGAGATTCTAGATCGATGGCTTCTCGAAAATTCAGGTCGCGCCCTATCCCTTCGTCTTCCGTCGAGACGCTTTGATAATTAACCATTCGTCCCCGGCAAGCGACACCTGTTAATTGTATTTTCATAATCTCGGAAGTTGCTCCCTTTAACGGGAGACTTGAACGAGCCGAACCGCGCGCGCGGGAAGGATTTCACACGAGCTTGACACTCGAAGAACCGCAAATTGTTTAACGAAGTATTTGTTGAAAGGATCTTACATATTATAAGGCATCGTACGTAATTTTCATTCTCTATCTTTTAAAAAATAGTAGATCAGGGTATTTTCAGGGGAGCTATACAGAAATATCTGGCAATATTTCTTTGCTACTTTTTGGTTCTTCATGGCGAACGCATTCATAAAAGGTTAACGTGTGTTTTCCTATTTTACCGTGTATCTCAAAAACTATAATAGATATGAAAAAATTATCTGAATAAAAGTTTAATAGCTACTAACTAGTTCATGCTCTACAAATCAGTGCAACGAAATTGTAAAAAAATAGTTTTTTAGATAAATCAACAAATAAACAAACAAATTGTTAACAATTTCATTTCACAGTTTCATACAGCACAAAAATCCATTAAAGTTCCATTGCACGAGTTATTTTATATCTCCCATAGTTTTCACGATATACAGTAAACTAGGAAAACCAAAATTACCAGTTAAGGGTAGTTCTCACCTAAACGGCCCAAAAGGTATCAAAAAAGAAACATTTCCCGATACTTCTATCAAAGCCCCCTTCAAACCCCGCAAAGTTTCCAAAACAAAATCGGAATTATCGTGTTACCCAAGTTCCCATGTGTCGGTAGTTCGGAAAGAGGGTGGGCAGTGTTCAAGTTTCAAAAAGGGTTGACGTTGATTCGATCGCCACAGAAAGCCAGACTCGAAATACCATTACGTGTGACCGTCCCGTTTCTGGTCCGTCCCGTAGGTCTGACAGAACGGATCCCAGAGGCATGGCCAGCAGCACGGAGGATTACGGCTCGGAATTGCAGGAGCTGCAGTGGGGCGGCGGCACTGGGTCTCACTTCCTGCGCAGCGGTTCCCACTTCCTGAGGAGCGGCGGCGGCGGAGCTGGTTGCTACGAGGCGGAGGATTTAGAGCCGACAACCAGGCACCATGGCGGCGGTCAGCACAGGGGATATTACAGCCCTCCGGGCACAAGTTACACGATCGTTGAGAGACCACCGAGCGCCCCTCATCACCATTCGTCGCACACCACACCGTACAGGCACAGAGGGCACACCACCGGGGGCACCGGCGCCATTTCCCCGGAACAGGTGCTTAGGTACGCCTTTAACCCTTCCTTCCACGGTACCCTGGACACGATTTCCCGCGCGTAACGATATTTTTCCGAATTGAACGAGGGCGGGGAGAACGAAGAGTTTGAATTTCAACCCCTTCGCATCGGAGGACGAGATATCTCGCCGCGTGATTTCGCTCATGATATGCTTTATATATACATATCTTGCAACGTAATGTTTTTCATGCTATGTACGAAATATCTCGCGACACTAAATCGTTCACGCGACGCTCTGTACAATTGTTTACAACTTTACCCCGGTGTTATTTTTTACCCTAAGGTGAGACAATAAGTAACGATTCGGCTCGGTTAATTTTCACGGTCATAATATTTTTAACAATTAATATCAAACGATTACATCGCTATAGAAGTGATCTTGAATCTCCAACTTATTAGTATAAACTAACATTACATTTCTAGCTGAAATATAGACTTTCTTATTTCATGAAAATCAGAAACTATTACATTCTACCCCGGTCTTCCTTTGGTGTTACCCTTTATACAGCAAACACGACTCGACCCTCTATACGGAGTAAAATAATTGAAAAAAAAAATTCTTTTTTCATATCCAAAAAGCAGACTTTTCGGCAGCGGCGTGTCGGAACGGCGCCAGGGCGACCGGAGGACACCGGCCTCGTCGCCCGCGAGCGTCGCCGCGGTTCGTACTTCCTCGTCCTCGTCGTCGCAGCAGCAACACCAACACCAACAGTCGCAGCAGTCGCAGTCCACTCAGCCGAATCCGCCGACCTCGCCGAGCACGCAGCCGCTCAGCCTGCAGGAGCTCACCGTAAGGACAGTGACCATGACGAGAGATCCGCCGGACTCTCACCATGGCTTTGGGATCTGCGTGAAGGGTGGCAAGGACGCAGGTGAGATCCGAAGTACCTTCAGGCTACCCCCGTCGCCGTACTTCGCGCCTCAAGAACGAGGTATCTCCCGACGTCTGGGAATTTCATTTCACGTTTTTGTTCGCTGTTCGCGGGTCGCGGTGATCGGTTGCGATTGTTAGAGAACGCTGGATGAATGCTCTATAGCATATTGTTGTCTCGATTTTTGGTAATTTATAGGGAGTCTTTCGGGGGATACTTCTATGATTGATAGGATGAATTTGGATTTTGCGAATGGTAGCGATTGCTGAGGTTTTTACAGAGAAATTTTCTGAGGGAGGATTTTTTTTTACTTTTTACTTGGTGGGTTTAAGTTTTTTGGTCGGAATTGGGATGAATTTGGATTTTGCGAATGGTAGAGATTGCTGAGGTTTTTACAGAGAAATTTTCTGAGGGAGAATTTTGTTTTACTTTTTACTTGTTGGGTTTAGGTTTTTTGGTTGGAACTCGGATGAATTTGGATTTTGCGAATGGTAGAGAGATTGCTGAGGTTTTTACAGAGAAATTTTCTGAGGGATGATTCTTTAACTTTTTACTTTCTTGGGTTTAGGTTTTTTGGTTGGAATTGAGAGAATAAGTATGAATAGATTCCGTAATTGTGAAGTGTACACTCACTTTTGATTCTTACTGTAAATTGTTTTGCTAGTGACTTTTTCTGGTTGAATTTCGAAGTGAATACTTTCGTGGAATGGAACTCATTTTTATAGAGGGGGAATTTTCAATATTTCGTTGTTCTATTTCTGACATTATTTATATTCTTATTTTATATTGTTTGACATAATGATTTTTCTAAATGTGTTAGTAGTGGATTAAACTTATAAACTATATCCAATTTGAACATATAATTCTAGCAGTCATGTGGGGTGAAGCGTTTGATAAATTCTAACAATCGCAACCGACGTCTTAGCGTCGCGTAGACCACTGCGATCCTTTCTATAGTGTTTCTATCAGGTTCACTTCTTTTCGCTGGCAATCGTGTCACCGATCACCCTGTGCTTTCTGTGCTTCAGCACAGCTGCCGCGTGGCCCCTGATTTCCAGTGTTCTCGTTCTCGCGAACAAACTAAAATAATCGCACTAATAAAAAAAAATTAAGTTACCATCATTAAAACTTTTCATCCCGTTACAATCATCGATTTATCGAAAGACATTTCACTTGAAACTTCAATTAATGGATAGACTTCGTCTAAAAGGAACAATTCAATTTTATTATCGATTCTTTTTGCCAGACATTGCCTTGTTAAGAAAGAAAAAAAAAAGTAATTCGAGTAGAAACGAACGAAATTACACGTTCAGAAAAATCTGAACCAGTCGCGAGTACGAGAACGGGGAAATCAGGGGAATGGCGGGAGAAAAAACATGTCTGTATCGCGAATCATTAAGCATCATTTCCATTCCAGCTGTACGGTTCGTCCCGCAGACGGATGAAAGATCGCGTTTCGGCTCGATTTTCTCCACCTCTTGTCGTGTTCCTCTTGCCGCGAACGGAATTTCACGGTTTGTTTCGCGTTTATCCCGCGGCCCCACTCGCGGTACGATGATGAAAGGGAAATAATTGAAACTCCCCCGCGCGTATTCCCTACCCGTTCTTTTTTTTTTTTGCTTCGTTTTTTTCGTCGATGTTGATTGGACTGCGTTGAATTTCTCTGGAAAACGCGGAAACTCGAATCGGACAACGAGGAGTGCATTCGAACCGGAGATAGGAATTCAATGTGTTCGTGCTAGCTACAGGCAGTACGAATCTCATTTTACAGTTAAACGGTTTAACACCGAATTTATTCTGAGGATCAATAGGTTTCACACGAGAGCGTATGAAAAGGAAATCTGGTAGGTTTTACACAACAGGCAAAAAAATGACGAACAATTGTGCAGTGTCTATTTGTAGTTACTTTTCAAGGGAAATTCTTGATACGTATGAAAGGTGAACGATAGTACATCTTTGGTTAAATTTACTATGGTATGCATTGAACGCAAAAGAAGGAAAACGATAAAATATAAAAAGTAATAGTGACAGATACAATGACGTGCATGAAACGAATGCAATGAAGCATACGGTATAGAACAGTTTTATGATATCTAATCCCAAAATAAGGTACTTTTAATAAATCACTAGGCATCAAATATTCACAGAAATACAAACTTTTCTGGACAAGTTTTCAAAAATGATACTTGTACAGAGTTACTTACCTGAAAGTAAATAGTTTTACTAGTGACAATAGAAAGCAAAGCCCTGCTACAGTACATTAACCCTTTCCGACCTGAATTATTTCTTGCAAGCAAAAGAAAAGTTCGTTTTACCACAATACATATAATAAAATTAAACTTAATAATGCGCCATCTAGTGCAGGAAGTAAATTTCTATTAAATTTTGAAGTTCAAAAATAAATGCCTAAAATTTTGATTTTCCGCAAACATCCGCAGTCTAATTAATAAATGCTGCATAACTTCATTCCAGATGGAATCCTACAGTCTGAAAGGGTTAAAGCTTTCTTTATAATCTACCCACAATTTTATCTTACAAAAAATTAATACCCGAAGTTTCCACACAGATCGTTCGATTCACTCGGGAACGCTGATCAACGCCCCTCTGAGAGAGAGACCCAGAAACACGGTTCTCCCCGTCCCGTGGACGGGATTAGGGCCCTCCGTATCGAGCCGCAAATTGCACTGAATCGCTGGCAAATTGTATTTCAGGGGTCACAATTAAATCCCCTCGAACCCAGGCACGATTCTGTCGTTGATTAGCAAAAAGCATGGGAGAGAGAGAAATGGACAGGGGTGTATAGGCGCGAACAGTTCGCTGAACCTGTTCGCTCCCCGTGTATTTACAATGGAGGGGCGAGGGGAGGGGGTAGTTTGCCAGGGTAATTAGCGATACCAGCTAATTGACCGGCGATTCGACGACGCCGCGCGTTTAATGACGCGCTTCTAATTGCCAGCAGCCGTCGCGCGTATATATATATATATATTTTTTTTTTTATTCCACCGGCCGCTGGAAACGGATTAAACAGGGGGGGAAGCGTAATTGCACTGCGTGTTCAACCTTCTGTATGGGCAAAGATCGCGACGAAAAACGACGATTCAGGTCCATCTTGCACGATCGAATTGATATTATTAGGGAAATTTTCAAAATCACAAGGGAAATGTTTCCAGTACAGTAGACTCGCGATAATTACCCGTATATGGGGTTCTGAAAGCGGCCAGGTCTAGGAAACGGGTAATTATCAAGAGTCAATAGTTGAAATGAAAAATTTCTATATTGCACTGAATATCAGCAATATAAACAAGTGGAGTTTAAATATAATAGCATTGAATATCGATTAACTCCAGGTACGTTCAAACAGTTCGAAATCGACGAGTGAAAGGAACAGCTTTAGCTTCTGGTTTTTCGTTCGAATACATATCAAGGATCTGTTTAATATCCCTATGCAAATTCACGTGAAACACAGTGCCGCGGTGGGATGACGCAAGTTTGTTTTGTCGAGTCAATATTGAAGGGGAAGTCGGTGGATAAATTGGTCGAGGGACGGTGATTCGGTGTACGTACCGATTTAATCGGAAATGTTGCCGCTTTCGTGGAAACCTATTGATCTGTTTCTTGAAAGAAACCAAAAACAAAAGAACAGAGTATATGTTACTGGTTATTGAAGTTTGAATTAATTCTTTAACTTTTCCAATTTCTGTAATGTCTGTAACAAAGATGACTCGGTCAGAATTTATGCACACCAAGGTGTAGCAATGAGTTATCCACTACAGTAAATTCTCGATAAATGCTCGCAAATGGTTTGATAAGCGAGAACAATAATGTTGTGACGAAATTTTTTTATTTCTGGTTTTTTGTTAATACGAAATTTTACGAAAATATTGGCGAGATTTTTCTAGTTAAAATGAGATCAAACATGATATACAGTAAAATTGATATTTTTCCGTGCTCTTATTGAACGCAAAAGGCGTAGAATATCCAGCACAAAGAACAAATATTAATAACCCGCATTTCTGACCTCCTGAAAAAATGAATATAGTATTCAGTAACATAAAATAGTGGATTACTCATTGGTACACCTAACAAAGTTTCATCTACCTATACAGGGTGTTTCAGATACACGTTTCAATATTTAAACCGTTCAAAAGTCAAAGTGATTAACTCCATTTAAACAATGTTTTTTTTTTTTTAATTTCAATGACAAAGCACCTGATTGATGGTAAACTATTTATATCCACAATAAATTTTAAATATACATTCTGTGGAGTTAATAACATTACCAAATGAACGGCTCATTTCAAGGGATGGTAATTACCTGTACATGAAAACCCCAAGAAAAAATAATGAATCAGAACAGGTTGGAAATACTAACAATCATTTGTTATAAAATCCAATGTCGTTACAATAAGACAAAAGATAAAAAGAAGAAACCTACCAGACAGTAACCGGTAAAAGTTCGTGACAGGCGAAAGTAGCGTCTGAAACTCCATTCAAAGAACATTACAAAACCCTCGAACAAAACGTTCGAGAGTTTGATTGGGGGTGACGGTTTCTCCAGAGAAGTTCTCCGCGGGCGAGCAACGATAAATAAAAATGTCCCCGTTCAGGATCCACTTTCCGCGGATACCAGACAGCATCCCCGTCGCCATTCTCCGGGTCCAGTTTCACGGTTTCGAGCCTCGTGGAAATTCACGCTTGATCACGGCGTTGTAGCCAGGGACTTTAACCGGTATGATTTTGATGTCGGTATTATGCCATCAAAGCTATACCGAAACCGATATATTACCGAAAACCAAAATAAAAACCGGTATTATGCCATTAAAGCTACACTGAAACCGATATATTACCGAAAACCAAAATAGAAACCGGTATTATGCCCTCAAAGCTATACCGAAACCGATATATTACGGAAAACCAAAATAAAAACCGGTATTATGCCATTAAAGTTATACCGAAACCGATATATTATCGAAAACCAAAATAAAAACCGGTATTATGCCATCAAAGCTATACCGAAACCGATATATTACCGAAAACCAAAATAAAAACCGGTATTTTGTCGGTTTCCATAAGGGTAGGGTTTATATAGAGTTATATAGGGCTAAGGTACAACCGATAATAACGATGTAATACCGGTATTTTACGTTTCGGTAGAAGTCCCTGGTTCTTGGCTCGCATGCACGAGTTAAAGGGGGGCTCAGACGTCGCGTGGCTCGGCGAGCCTGTCCCTTAATCGGTAACTAGAATCGTTCACAGGCCAAAATGACTAACACTGTTATTGACATTTTCAAACTTTCGCGCGAAAGTACTTGAACGATGCTTGACTTTTCATATTTAAAACGAAATTTTGTAGAATCAATCACTTTGGTAAATGAACGGCTCAACTAGCAACAAAAGGAAAAATTTGTTTTCGATTTTTTAATCCCGTTTCTCGTCACCACTAGACTAGGAATATTTATGCAAATAAATATAGATGATAAATATGAATAATTTACAGAAACTGGAATCGAACCGATTGTTTGTGTACTTTATCCAGTATTCTATCGAGATTCAAATGAAATGGAAATTTCGTTAAATTCGACTAAGCTTGTTAACTATAGCGAAGTTTACAACATTGTGTACGGTATGAATGCATAATATCCGATAGTCTAGTGACTGTTTACCGAGGAGGGGGCAGGATTGCCGAGCCACGCGCCGTCTGAGTCCGCCTTAACGATCTTTCTCGCCTCCACGCTTCGTCCCCGTCGAGGATCTCGGAACCGTGGACATTTATACGTGGAAAAACACGCTCGAATCGTCGTCGTATTGGTCACCGTTCCTCGTGGATCCTGCGCAGGAGACGTGTGTTCACTAAACGGAAAACGCGTCTGCGTGAAACGACGCGCTACAGGCGCTCCCGAGCGTTTCCTCGAAAATATTGCAATTATCGTCGTGATACTCATTCGAATTGTTATCGACGATTCCATTGAAAATTTGTGAAATTGGAATTATTGCTTGATAACTGACTCGATGGTAGTGGAAGCTATTGGCACAGAAGAAGTGCTTCAATTGGAAGCATTTAGAAAGATTTTATTGTCGTTACGCGAGGTTTTAAAGCAAATTGATAGGTAATCAAAATCACAAGGTTCTGTGAAATGGAAAGAAAAAAAACTCATAATCATGTATAAATCAAATTGCAATCTCATATGAACTATGATAGATTACTACGATGACTGACAAATGCTTTTTTATACCTTCGAAGCTCCATTTACAAAACTTTCACCTTACAATTGATGACAAATATGAATATTAATATGGAAAAGAGGGTAACTATTGGTGGTCGCAAAATTTCCTTGGATCCTTTTTCTTAACCCTTTCAGACATAAATTTTCTTTTAAGCGTAAAAAAATATTTGATTGCACATTTCAACTCAGTAGATGGTTTAGATCATATTTTGTTAAAAAACTTTTTTTAGTTAACAAAAAAAAAGGGTTTATTATTCAATTCCGAATTCGGTAATAAAAAATTCAAATCTATAAGAAAAATATGGATCTGCAACACACTGTACCTTTGTGAAAAATGATAAGAAACTTCATGGTACACAAATGTGACCACCAGGTCTGAAAGGGTTGAATTTCTTTTTTCGACTATAGAGTTCCAAGGAAGGTTATTGAGAATATTTGAAAAGTAATAGCAGTGTTCGACGGACATTGGAGAATCGAGGTACAAAGTGTAGCCCGTAAGGGGACACGTTTTCGTTTGTGGAACCGTTCAAACGTGTCCGGAAGTAGGACAAGCGATCGTCACGCACGGATGATCGATCGGTTATCTTCGAGGAAACGTTCGCCCAGTTTCCCCCTCCCCTCTCCACCTTTCCAAAGGGGTGCCTCGCGTCGTTTCGGACAGGCCGATACTCGAAATAAGCCAACTGGCGGTGTGTCTTTCTTGTTTTCTGTTTCGCTGTACCAGAAGCGCAGTCAGGTAACTCATCAACCGTACGAAGCGAAAAAGGCAGAGAGAATGTAAGATACGTAAAGGGAGAGAAAGAGAGAGAGAGAGATTGGGAGAGAGAGCGAGAGAAAGATAGCATACGTAAAGAAAACCGACGGAAGATTGGACAAACGATCGGAAACTGGGACCAAAATGGCCTCCCTTATATTCGAGAAGCATTTAATAACAATTTTATTTCGGAAAAATATAATCGAGAATTTTTTGAATCATCTCTAATTTCAGTTCAGTCAAAAAAAAAAAAAACAAGAAAAATATGTCTCTGTTATGTAAAATTATATATTTCTATATGTTACATTATAGTACAGATCCAAATGTTTTATCTTAATTACGGGTGACTACCGTAATTAATGACTATTAATTTAAATCGGTTGACTTGAGCAAAGAGGATCAAGGACGTTTCTGCTTTTGTTCCGGTGACTCGCGAATATTCCGCGAAAAGCCGCGGTGATTTATATCGTTAATCGATATGATTCATGTCCATCAATGGAGCTGAGCGGATTTCGTAACGGTGATCCGTGCACGCCTCGCGAGTGGTCATTCGGAGGCGACAGGTTCGTTTAATCGAGAGCCTCGTTCGAGCGTATCGCGCGAAACGATTCGAAACGATTCCGCGAATGGCCATTGGTTCCCCATTTGAACTGACAAGAAAACAAATTCAGCAGTGAAATGGAGAATTTATCGTACATTTTAACCACCCAGACGGCGGTCTCTGCGTCTATTCTGACCCAGGTTTCCAAGGGATTCACTTAACTATTTAGGTTGTAGGTTAAAAAATCTGAATAAGGTTCAAAATCGGACCAGATTAAGAAAACCCTAAACTTTGGATCATGGAGACTAACTTCAGATTAAAGCTGTTCCATATTTGATTCAGTGAGGTAATAATTGTACCTCAGAGAAATATATTCGAAAAGTACATCTAGAGAAAAATCTGTGCAGGAGTCAAAACGGACCCAGGTTAAAAAGACCCTAAACTTTGGGTCATAGAGACTAACTTCAGGTTAAAACTGTTCCATATTTGATTCAGTGAGGTAACAATTGTATCTCAGAAAAATATATTCGAAAAATACATCCAAAGAAGAATCTGAGTAAGGGTTAGAATGGACCCAGCTACTGCTCTCAGCACGTTGGTCAAAATCGTCCGTCTTCCGGGGGTTAAATCGTTATCCAGAAATAAGTATGATCGAAGGAATTATTTCGAAACGGAGTTATTTTGAATTAACAGTCTTAACGTCCAAATTACGTCTAGAAATTCTAAAACGGTTGTATCGATGTATGATATACGATCTATAAACTTGACTACAGAGGTCTCATATTCGGTGCACAGAGGATCCAAGATCCACAGGAAATAATATCGGGAAGACATTGGACCAGCTTTACGAGGGGGGCCGTTTCAGACCGGCAGTTCTCCCGTACATCGTTCGAATTTCGTGGTCGTTCCAATCTCCCCGTTGGTTTTCGAATATCCTCATACACACGTACTACACACATATACATACCACACGCACACACAGAGTAACGATCGATGTCGCATGAAAGTGTTATGCGCAGATCGGCCGGGCATGGGACTAGAGGGGGCGGCGAGGAGCGTGAGAGAAAGGAATATCACCGACGAGCACAGTAACAGCAAGGTTTTTTCTTTCATTCAGAGAGCAAACCCGTTGAAACGGTTAATCTTACAAAAAGATTCATTAGAATTTATAATCTCGACCATTGAAACATTTAAAATGGGTACAAACGAGTGAAACAGATAATTCTGTTAACTTTAATAATCTCAAGGTTACATAGATTAATTATGTTGGTTTTTCAATTTTTATCCAGATAACTTATTAAATGCTCGACATTTCTTCATAAAGCAGTTTATTAAACAGTTTTTTATAAGTCTCATCTATAGAGACACTACTGTGAACAAACCACTATCGCTCCACTTACAGACGGTAGAACCCATTAGGTTCCAATTAATTTGTAACTTTTACCGCCCCATAACGTTAATCGATCGCAGTCCGTCATTTCCACCATTATGCCCCGCCTCCTCGACGCACGAATACGGGTTCGAAATTATTTTCCACGGACCTACGCCGCGATATTATCCGCTGGAGGTGCGTTTAAATATTTTCCGTGGGAATCACGGGGAACGATGAGGGTTTATCGGAAAATTTTTTCCCACCCCCATTGCCCCGCCCGCGAGACGATAAATCGACTCGATGGAATTACATTCGGTCGCTCGTTAAAAGTTGGAACAGGTGGCCGGGCTGACCTCGCAGGCTGATGATCTCCCCTCGGAGATTACAGAGCTCGATCGTCGTTTTCGATACGTTCAATCCGTTCCCTCCCACCTCGACCTCCACCTTGGTGAAACGAGTCGACGATTTCTCCGGACCAGATCCCAGCTGTCGCCGGGCCGGTGTGTCTTGCTCGCTTTTTTCCCCCCTCGGTATTACAGGGCTCCTTGCACGAATGCCCGTGATAAGGACAGATTAGCCTCGAAACGTCGTCGGAGAATGGGCCCTCTCGACTCCCTGTTAAACAGGCCATACACGGTGATGTTTACATCGAGGTCTCATGATGTCGTCTCACGTTAGGGGAGCTGGGTCTCTCGAAGCATCCTTGTAATATGTAGCAGGATAGTAGATGCGCTACTAAATGCACGGGCAAAGGTTTGGGTTAGGTGGAGTATTTATCCTTGGATATGGAGGGTGGTAGATCGAAGGGGTAACATATAGTTCTCTCGATGAAGCTAAAAGTTTTGATCATCGTTCTTTCCTTCATCTCGACGAAGAATCGTCAGAGCAACTTCCAGAGTTTCTATAATTATTGTGTATAGTATCTACATCTGTTTAGAAGAAAAATATTTGAAATATTTGATGATTAAGAGCAAAATCATTTTCGGTAAATGGCTGTTTTAGTTGCAGTTTGCAAAAGTTTTGGGATCGATCGTGTATGCCATTGCTCGGATGTTTGGGATCAGTTTCTGTTGAAACAGTCAAGCAGAATATTTTAACGAGGAGCACGTAAATGGTTGAATGATTTTCTCGTGGAAAATACGTCGTCCTAGTATCTACTGCTGTGGCAATCCCAATAAAATCGGTATCAATCGTATCTCTGGTGCAATATGTAGAACGTAACATCGTGGAGATTTTTTGTTTCGACGGTATAAAGGTCGTTGGTATTATATTAAATAGAATTATATGCTTTCTCACGACTAAATAACTATATTTATTTATTCTGTTTATTTTTATATTTTCCAGTTATTTATAAGGTAAAACACAATTTTAAAAAATCCCGAAATTACCGGGATTGTATTCCTTAGTCTTGAGAATTGTACATAAGGAAAACGTGAAACTGAAAGATACAAATTACCATAAAGTCTTTTTAATGATACGAATAAAATGGGTAAACTCACCCCCACGTTCTGTGGTTAATCATCACTAATAAGAGAAGAACCTGTAATTTTCTTTCCATCATCATTAGAGAATTAAACCCTCATAATGACACACAAATGAAAAAGACATTTATTATTATTAGAACTAAAGGATTCGTGGCTATCCAATTCTTATAAATCTTCATTTCCGATCTGTAATTATATTTTGACTAATACGAGGGAATTCTCAGGTTGTAATATCTTTCGAATGGGGGAAATCGCGAAGATTCCAGGGGAGTGTTGGCGAAGCAAAAAAAGTGACCCTTTCTCTCGTTCCTCCGACGATTTATCGTCAGGATCTCGCGATTATGGGAAACCGCGAGGAGATTCCTCTAGGCTTAGCACGCCGGCGTTGCGTTGCATGACAATGTATGATGCATATGCGCATAGTTTATGAATGTATAGAAGAATCGCACACACCACGGTCTCCACACACACACATATATATTCACACACCTGATTTGCATTACATAACATACGTCCTTAGCGAGCAGGAGGCAGGATCGTGGAATTTAAAGGCATTTAAACGGAGCCCATTTAAGGCAACCATCTTGAATTCCAATAACCACTAGAAAATACAGAAAAAAAATCTCTGAATTAAAATATCTCAAAGAAGTCCTCTATCACATATCATTCCGGCCATTTGAAAATATACATATTTTGAATTACCATCGTACTCACTTGATGCTCGGGGGAACATATTCCTTAAAATACGTAAGAATTTTATTATAACATATGTATTTTCAATAGAAAATTTTATCCTAATAAACAAACTTTCGGAATATTACTATTCAGTGAATTTATACAATTAAATCACATTAATAAATTTACTTTAATTTTTGCATTGACTCAATAATAACAAAAAAAAAAATCAACTCCCCATGATAGTTACGATTTGTCAGACATCTCGAAACACCAAGCGTGGATTTACCAAATTCAGAGCAGAAAATGGTTCCCACGAAAACCAAAATCTAAGTTCAAAAAGGAAACTCGAAATTCAAGTTGGAACAAGGAAAATTTAAATTCAAGTTGAAACGAGGAAAATTTAAATTCAAGTTGAAACAAGGAAAATTAAAATTCAAGTTGAAACGAGGAAAATTTAAATTCAAGTTGAAACGAGGAAAATTTAAATTCAAGTTGAAACAAGGAAAATTGAAATTTAAATCCAAGCAGAGGCAGAAAAAATCAGTGCTCGAACTGAGCTCGACACGCACGGGGAGCCAGCGACTCTTTATTAACCGGTTGCGGATGAGACAAGTTCGTCGAGGGTGCCGACCCCCGCTAGTAACGAGCTCATTGTTCGTCTTATCCTCTTTTATCGGATTAATCCTTGCCTCCCGGCCGGCCCGTGTCGGCGTGGAAGCAGATCAATTACAGGACTCCCGGGGTCGAATAGACATCCCAACCTCCCCCTCGATCCTATCCACCCCCGACTACCCCGTTCGTTTCGACGTCCGCCTTGTCCGAGCGTGAAACGCCTTTTTTTCCGCGACCGAGAGCAAGCTTATCGATTGCATCCGGTGGACCCCGGCGGGGGTCGCGTGAATAGCGACTACGTTGGTTTCGTGTCGGGAACAAATATCTGGCGGATTAACTATTCATGGTGGCGCTGGTTTAGCAAGTATAATAGCCCCGTGTTCTTCTGGTCCATCCGCGACATTTTGTCATGGATGACTTTTTCAGGGTGGGAGGGAGGAGAGGCATTGGTGATCCAGGATCAATATTTGGCAGCTCAAGTATAATCGAAAAGAAATTTTGTCGCGTCGAATGAAATATCCGAGCCGAGGCTCGGGCCAGGTGGACGTTTGGAAGCTGGTAACGAGTCCACGGGAATTCGGATTCAATTGTTCCCGTCGGGGAAATCAATTGGTGTTCGCCTAATTAATGTCACACGGATGTTTCACCCGCAGAGACGTTTCGTTAATCGCCCCCAGCTCGAAGACGTCGAATGAAATGAACGTTGCATCGCGAGGCTTTTTCTGCGGAAATCAGTGTAGACTACTATATACTGCAAAATTTTTAAAAAGTCCTTCGAAACGAAGAAATTGTTCCTTACAAAATTACATTAACTTAAATTGCAAAAAATTTGTTTGAGGTAATGTATATTGGGTAGAAAATATTTGTTTTCCATTCGTTTATTATAATTTAGGTTGACAGACCATTGATTGGTCATTCACATTCAAAATTCAGGCACTCTAAGAGAAATAAACTGTACGGGAAAACATATATGTAAAATAGAAATTGGGAGTAATTCTGAAAAATGCTATGGATAATTATTATAATTATTGTAAATAGAGTGTCTAGATTGTTCCCTATCTGATAGTATCTACAAGGAAAATGGTAATTCAATGTGATATAAGTACACGTAGTGATGAACAAAAGTACAATTGGAAAATGTACTGCCGGTTATTTTTATATGCAATTGTCTCCAGAATGAAGTTTCATGTACTTACAGGATGTTCGTAGTAATAGTCGCCACGACTTTTCGGACACTTCCGATACAATCTGACGAAAAAAAATGTTATAAACAATATGTAGCCGATACTCAATCGGTAACAAAGTGTAACATCTAGTAAAAATTATCAACAAACCTTTTTCTTCGATAAAAAATCAAAGTTACCTTAACGTTTCTAAATGGCATCACACATTATCATTTTTCTATCTGACAGAAGAAAGAACGTCATGAACAGAAGTTAGTCTGCAACTGATTTTTTTCGAAAGCAATTTAAGGTAAATATACCAGATACAAAAGTTACAATATACATATTATGCTATTTATAAACGTGAAGGTGACCTTAAGTTTTTATCGAAAGAAATGTTTATTTTTAAAATTTTTTCATATTACAATTTGTCTGCGATCAAGTATAGACTAACTTTTGTGCCATGACGTTTTTTCTTCTGTCAGATTATCAGAAACGTTCGAGAAATCGTGGCCTCCATTACGACGCAACACCCTCCACACAAATTTTCATTCTGTGTTACCAATATAATTTGTAAAGCGGAGGAATTGCCTGGACAAGTTTGTTCTTTTTTTTTTTTCAAAACACCAGGAAAACCTGGAAAATACTGTGCATCCTAAGTGGTGAAACATAATTTTCCTCTTCCAGTTCGAAGGAAATCCAGTAACGACGAAAAGCACTTCCAGCCTCAAGTTCGAAGGTTTTCTCCACTAGGTTGTAATTAAGCGGTGACCGGGTCACACACACGAGCACGATGCAAATCACGCGATCATATCGGGCCAGGTTTCCCGCAGAAAAAAAAAGCAAGAAGTCTTATTGCATGCCTCCCCCCACCCCCTTTGCGGGACACACGAGCAAACACGCACCCAGGCACCAGGATGATCCTAATCTCTGTTCGAGCAGTTCGTTTTTGTTTTTCTCACGTGTATGCATCCGCATTTAAGGTACGTTCTCACGAGACAGTGAAAGTCATGACTCGTTGTCGTTGTATGACAATGTAAACAGAATGTAACGACAACGCGAAATCTAGTTTACACGACGACAAAAGGTCGTAATATTTAATGTCACGACTAGACGGATGTTTATGCATTTATAGATTATAGATTATACGATTCTAATAAAATTTAATATTATTTACGGATTATTGTTAACATATGTAAAATCTGTGGTCTACAGTCCTTGGACAAAAAATTAGAGCCACCCATAATTTTCAAAAATTTCCGCAGTAATCGCAGAATTAAAAGGCTAGAAGGTAATTTTTATTAACTACTAAAGTACGTACATATATATTGCATACATACATATTAATAATTTGTATATTATGTAATGTCTTGTTATTTTTTACTTTTGCGAGTTTATTGCCACCACAATAGATTTAAAAAAGAAAATTCTGGACATTTGGCAAAACCATCCGAAAATAATGGATTAAAATACCCTTTAACCTTTTCATTCTACGATTACCGCGAAAAATTTGGAAAATTATGGATGGCCCCAATTTCTGACCAGACACTGTATAAAAGAAATTTCTGTGCAATTTTCTTTTTTCTACATTAGCGTCGAAGATCGTCAATTAACATAAACATCCGCAAAATAGTCATGACCGTAAAAGTCATGATTTACTGTCACGTGAAGACGTACCTTTACTGTCCTTTCTCGTCTCTACGTTATTTTTCCTTTTCCACGATTCTCTCTTTTTGTTTTAATTTCTGTCTTTTCTCTCTTTTTTTACTTCCTTTTATTTCGTCGAACACATACACACAAACATATATACGTACACATATATACACACAGAGAACGGTTTCCATCCATGGCGTCGCCGTCGAACGATGACGCCTGAACGGCGCCGATAAAAATGGGAGCTTCGCGACGACGACCGAGCGAAAGAGAGAAAAGTCAGCCACCTTCTTGCATTCTAATGGATCTATTTCCATCGGGCTGGTGATTTATGGAGCCTCTCGAAAATGGTCCACGGTATACGGATTTTTACTCCCCCTGGATCGCAGGATTGAAATGCTCCCGATGGACCTTTTCGAGGATCTTTGAGAAAAGACGCTTGTTATTCGTTCGAAGCTGCTTTTGACTTTTACGCTGAGAATCTTGCGATAGTAGTTTCCTTGGAAGACTTCGATACAGTTGTTGTTTTGTTACTTCACTCTGGGGTATACCAAATCTTTTTTAATGTGAGTAGTAAACGCAGATGTGAAGATTGAATTTTACTTCGATTACTTAAAGATTAGGATGGGTTCAGAAAAAAGAAATAATAGTGCTGATTGAAGAAATAATGGCTCCCAGTTTTAACGGCGTCGTCCGGTCAGGTGTCTACAGAGTTTCCTAAAATAGCTTCGGTTCCTGGGATGATTTGAAACAACTTTTTCCTTAGCAAAAATGTTATCCAAGGCTTTGTTAACGAGATATTCACGAAAAACCCCGACCAATAGCGTTGCCTACCAATCACAGCGTATAGCCAAGTACCGGCAGACTCGCGCTCCGATTGGTCGGAGTTTTTCGTTAATATCTCGTTAACAAAGCCTCGGATATCATTTTTGCTAAGTAAAAAATTGTTTCAAATCGTCCCAGGAACCCTTCATTTCCGGGAGTCGAACCTATTTTGGGACACCCTGTATACAGGGTGAACCACGAATCCTGATCAGTAGAGATTACTCTGTTATTAGCAGTCCGATCGAAAATGTTTTTATCAGGTATAACATGGTTTCAACAGAGCTTTAACGTGATCATAGCAAATTTTTTGTCAGCTCTCTTTTTTATGATTTTTCAAGATCACCTTCAATTTTTTGCAAATACACCTATAATTTTGTTACTCCTATCTGTTAGAGGATTTCAAGACGAATTCGGTAAGTATCATAACATAACATGTGTTACTTCATTTTTAGTTGAATTCTTGTAAGAAAATTGAAGGTGACCTTGGAAAATCATGAAAAAAAAAGAGTTGACCAAAAATTTGTTATAATCACGTTAAAGCTCTCATAAAATGAAACCATGCTATACCTGATAAAAACGTTTTCGATCGGACTGATAATAACAGAGTAATTTCTACTGATCACGATTCGTGGTTCACCCTTTATACACGTAAAAACGACGTGCCCGAGCCAGAGCAATCGAAGAAATCGGAAAAACGTTTAGAAGTGGGCTAACACAAGGCTCCCCTGAGTAGCGCCGCCCTGGATGGAAGGTTTCAGTCGTCGCCGTTCGCGGACCAGTCGCCAGACAGCTTCCGGCCTGATGGAAAGTCTGTGAACTGTTCCCAGGGGTGGGTGTCTACATTTCGAGGGTGGAGGAGGGTTCGGTGGCCGAACGCGCTGGACTCAGGCCAGGAGACACCATCTTGGAGGTGAACGGCACACCATTCCGGTCGGTAACCCACGAGGAGGCGCTCACAGTGAGTTTTAACTTTCGCTTTTCCATAAACCCCGTGAACCACTCACGCGTACATCGAACTGATTTCCGTTTTCATGTGACTGTTTTACGTTCGTGACGAAAGAACATTGACGATACATATGTAACGACATTTTACTTATAAGAAAATGTCTGTAGCTACGTGAAAATACCGATTTCTTTTTTTGAAACTCCACAGGTTCCTACGGGACTTTTCTTCTTGTTGATATTTGTGTCTTTAGAGTGAAAACATCCCTTAAACGGGTAATCTTTCGTTTCGTATTTTCCTGTGTATCCTGGAAACTGTAGTAGATATAGAAAATATTGTTGGGATGAAAATTTAGAGGCTTCTTGTGCTCTATATAGCAAATGTAAAGAGATTGTTAACAATTTATTTGTTTATTCAAAGAATAAATTTTTAACGAATTTATTGCACAGTTTTCCAGCGAGTAAGATTCCGTTGAATTTTCATTGCAACAGTTTTTGGATATCTAGTATAGTTGTCAAGATATATAGGAAAATAGGAGAATACACGATAACATTTAAGGGGTGGTTCCATCTTGAAAAACCAAATATGAGCAAACATGAGAAATAGCTTGATGCTACTATCAAGGGCCCCAATAAACCTGCGAAGTTTGAAAGAAATCAGAATTTTCGGGAATTTACAGCCTCTTGTAACTTTTTACCTGTAAATTAGTTTATCAAAATGTAAACTTTTATAGCATAAGAATAATAATTTTTTGCAGCGTATGATTATCGTCAAGCACTTGGCTTGGATTAGCTTTAAAGAGTTTTGCACCTTGTTTCTATACGAAAAATTGGCTTTTGGTGTATTTTGGATTTTCGGTTGAAAGGCAATCTCTTTTATTAAATGATCGATGAACATCAATTTGGTGTGCTCGGTAAGATTGAAGTATATCCGTTAAAAGGGCCACGTCATGAACAATGACGACACAATTACTTACTAATAATTTTCTGGAGAATGGCTGTGACCTTGAACCACAGAGAGCCGACTTCCTCGATTCTGGCGGTTGAAGCGGCTAATATCGAGTCACGTAATTCAAGGTAGTTGCTATAGTCCCCGGCGGTCTCAAGATCACAGATAATCGACCCTCGTGACCTTGATTGTGGAGTCCACAAACTCCTCGGAAGTTCGAGATTTCGAAACAATTGAACATATACCAAAGCCCATCTTCTCCCACAAATTGTTATAGTAATAGCTACAAGCTGAGTACATTCAAAGCACCAAAAAATGCCTAATTATTAATCGTTATTATTAACATTTCTTCCTAACACATTGGCAACCAATTAAATTTTTGCTAAAAGATTTAGGGCAAACCGGGACTAGTTGTTACATTTCGTATTATTTCGTTACTAAATCTCAGACAAACTCAGTACAATAAAATGTACTGCTTTTCGTAAGTAAGAATTTTGCAGGAATCGCAAATTCACTTACGTTATATTACATATTCCAATCTTCTGCAAATAATTTTTCTTAGAAGATTCATCTTTCAAATATTTTAATAAAAATCTTACCATTTATGATACCTGTGACAAAACAACTGTTGCATGAGACAACTAACCCAACTGTGGGGCTGGTTGTCACATGTTACATTATTCTAATTAACAACAAATCAACAGGTATTTACACAGGCATTACAACATTAGTATTTTTTTTTAAATCACAAATATCTACCTTTTCTGTTACTATGAAGAAAATGTTTCAGTACTTAATAATTAGAGAGAGAAAAAATTGTCAATTAAAAACCGTGACAACTATCCCCGGTCTCCTCTATTTATTTGTCCATCGAACTCTGATACCAAACTGAAAATATCATCCGTGAGAAAACCAATAATATTCGAATGCAAAAAATAGTACCATTTTATACGAAATAAACCATGTCGAATGAGAGATTTTACTACGTTTTTATTTTTTGTTTCCGTGTCGCCAATGTGTTGATCGTATGTTAATAATATTTATTGCAAAAAAATAGAAATGAGAAATTGGCTCGATGCAGCATATTCGAATACAGGGGTATACCTGTACCACATCTATCAAGCCCAGACCCACCCACTTTTCCTTCGTTATATCGAGACATTCGATTCTGGAACGGTTGCCCAAACACGGTAGCCTGGCTACGTTCCTAATCGCAATTAAAAATCACCGTTAAATCGTCCGCGTGAGGACACACCGATTGCCGTCGAACACGATCGAAGTCGTCCCTGTATTTACGAGCGACCTTAGAAGTTACGGAAACCTTCCATCGATCGGGGATACCGGATGGGCTCACGATTGAATTGCGATTCGAGTTATCTGGCGAGTGAATCCGAGACATTCACTGAGACAAGTGATTTTCTTGCTTTCCTTTTGCTCCTTTATTCCCTATGATTAACATAACCAAAATATGCATTCCCATTCGGTGGTATTTAACACTAGAACTACCAACGATAAACGCATATCTTTTTCGATCGATCGATAAATATGTGAAAGTTTTGAAAATTTACAGATTTATAAATGAACTAATTTCTTTAATGTCGTATTGTAATAAAAGTTACAAAAGATCTGAGAAAATGGATTGTTATAACATTTTAATCATCGTTGTAAAAATGTATTGGCAGGTCATTTTGACTTGCTTGGTGGTTCTAGTGTTAAATAATAACCGCAGCAGGATTTCTTTGGGAATTAATTTTTTTTCCGCATTTTCTTCGAGCTCGTGTCTCTCAATTTCGCCAAGATCATCCCCCTCGATTCCGCTGAGGGAGCATTTGGCAGGATCTACCCCCGGTATTTAATTTAACTTCTAAGCAGCTCGTAGAGATTATGGAAAATTGGAGGGCGAACTGGGGGTTGGTTATAGTGAAACTTTCAACAGCGTTATCGTCCCACGCGACGGTGATCTATCTCTAGACAATTTCTTCGAAGTCTGCTGCTTTTCGCGCAAACGAGACTTCGCGTGTATTTCTGGTCTCTTCGACAAAACCTCTCAGACCGCCAACAATTTTACTGTCGACGGAAAACATTCTGTTCTGTCCGCCAATTGGTAAACCAGTATATAAAAATAGAAATTCACATAATCATTCATAGTTTAAGTTGCAAGATGTAAGTATAATGTGGCTCACGTGTCATAATGAGTATGTATAATATCTCAAAATCATACGTTGTCATTGACACTTACAAGTGAACTTTCCTAGGTACGCTGAAAATCCCGATTTCTTCTTAAACTCCACAGATTTATAGGGGGGCTTGATAGAAGCATAAGGAAATTGTTCGTTTTTGCTGATATTTAGTTCTTCAGGGCGAAACCACCCCTTAAATATTAATACGTCTTTTCATATTTCCCTGTGTATCTTGAAAACTGTAGTAAATATCAAAAAACTCCTGGAATGAAAATTTAATAGATTCTTATGCTCTATAGAAGAGTGTAATAAAATTGTCCACATTTCGTTTGTTTATTTATTTATTTATTTAAAAAACAAAGTTTTTACAATTTCATTACACACTTCTACAAATCATAAGAATTCATTAAATTTTCATTCTAACGGTTTTTTTGACATTTACATTACTTTTCAAGACTGAAAAAAGACACATTAACCTTTAAAGGGTTGTTTCACCCTAAAGAACCCAATATCAGCAATATCGAAAAATTTCCCTACGCTTCTATCGAGGTTCTCTAGAAACCTGCGGAGTTTAAAAAGAATTCGGAATTTTCAGGGCACCAAAGTTGCCTTGTGTGCCTCGAGGCCTAAAATTCCATGACGGCGACGAGGGGAAAAATCGGGAAGGGACTCTATCGACTGGTCGGAATGGAAAGGAGCGTCGCTCGGTACCCACGCCGCAAGTAATCTCTGGTGTAAACGCTTCTGATGGGTATCTGTGGATCCGGTCGCTCGTCATACTCTCGTAGTGGCTCGGCAACCTCGAGACAAAAGCCCCGTCGACAATGGGCCATCAGAGTATCGGGGCTGGCACGCGGCGGAAAGGCTGCTGCTGCTGGTGGGTGAAAACTGCCTCGGAATTTCGAATATTTCAGACCCCTACGGCGATGGTTTTCGTCACTTTCGAATAATCACGAAAAATTTGCTTTTCTTCCGAGACACTGTCTATCCGCTAGACTTGTGCGGAAAATTGCAAGATTATGCTTTTAGGTTTTCGAGTGTTTTCATAGCGGTTGTCAGCGCCAAAAGTCATCACATCTTCTTATACATATAGAAATTTGTATACATTCTTCAACGTGTTGATTTTTTATTAGGTATTTCGTTTTTCTGCGTGGACAGAGATCAATTCTTGTTGGCTATAGATACAACCTAACCTAAAAATGCTGACAAGTCCATTATGCATATAGAAATTATTGACTGCAAACAATGTATAAAACGCTAAACGTAAAACCTAACCTAAAATTATTGAGAAGCCTGTTCCACAGAAATAATTAACCATAAACGATGTACCTATAGAACATTAGGCTTAAAACCTAACCTAAAATTATCGACAAGTCCGTTGGACAGAAAATATGAACCACGAACGATGTATAGAACATTAAACGGTATTTATAAAACGGCTTGTTGAATAAGTGATGAGACAGAAATCCATTAGAAGTGTATGGTATCGTCGACTCCGGTGTTCCGCGAAGAAACTCGAGCCTCGTTGTTTTGTATCCTCGACCGATATTGCTTCCAGTTGTCCGTGCGAATTCACTCGAACCGCTTGGTTGGCCGTTCTTTTTCCCTCAGTTTCGCGAAGTTATTGTACATCTCGGGAAACTCGGAGAAATTCAATCTCGCGAGATTGCGATCGAGGAATCCTCACGGCCTTGAAAGTTGTTCCACGTACCCTCACCCTCCGAAGTGGACACGCAAGGAAGTCGAGCAAGATAAACAGATCTGACGGTGCGGAAAAATGAAAAAGGAATGGGACGCCTTAAAGTGTTTGCGTCCGATAGAAACAACGAAAATAAGGACGGAACTGGGATCCTTTAATCCACTCGTTGCCATTGCAGCCACGTACGG